AAAGGGAGGAAAGGGGAGGGCAGGAAATGTTTCCCCAGCCGTAAATATCTTCCTTCCTGCAACGAAGGGCTTTGCATACCAGAATCCTGGAACCAGGAGGAAGGATGAAGCTGGGAGGTGGTCAGGGACAGTTCCTGGGTACCATTTGGAGCCAGGTGTCTTGGGGAGGGCACTCTATTGTGATGGCACTACTTCTGCCCCTGGGAGCACCAGCTGCTCTTACAGAATGGTGGGGAAAGCATGGGCACCAAGGGTGACACAAAGGTCTCCTCACAGGTTCCCCGGAATGGCTTCTGCCTATGGTGTTTCCTCTTAGTCCCTCTCCCCTTCAAACCTTGGGAGTCAGGTTCTGGCTCCTTTGGGTGCTGAAGTGCCCTACAAGTGCCAAAGGTCCAGTGACCTCTGCAGTCTGCCAGTATGATGCTGTTTGCCTGAATGCAGGCACTGGCAGATGCTGAGCAGGCAGACATCCCCAAGCCTTTCCTGCACTGCTGGCAGAATTACAGATGCTTCTGGATGTGGATGAGCTGGTGCTAGGCCAGATGGGAGGACAGGATGAAACCTTTCCATGCACAGAGTATAAATGTGCCTTCTCCTTTGTGTGTATATGCCGGTGCACATGCAGGGTAGAAGAGTAGGTAAAGCTCTTCCTACACTCAAGGCACCGATATGGTGTCTTCCCTGTGTGGACACTCTGGTGTTGGAACAAGGTGTAGGATCAGGTGAAGGTTTTCCCACACACGGGGAATTGATGTGGCTGCTATGTGTGGATGCGCTGGTGCCTGGTCAGGTAGGTGGGTGTGCTGGAGCTCTTCCCACACACAGAGCACTCATGACTTTTCCCCTGTGTGGATGCACTGGTGCTCAGCCAGCCTGCAGTACTGGATGAAGCTCTTCCCACATTCAGGGCACCAATGTGGTTTCTCCCCTCTGTGGATGGGCTGGTGCAGGCCCAGGCTGGAAGACTTGATAAAGCTTTTTCCACGCTCAGGACACTGATACGGTCTCTCATCTGTGTGGATGCGCCGGTACAGGGTCAGGCTACAAGACTGGGTGAAGGTCTTCCCGCACTCAAGGCACTGATATGGTTTCTCTCCTGTGTGGATGCGCTGGTGCTGGGCTAGGGTGTAGGATCGGGTAAAGTTATTTCCACATACAGAGAACTTATTTGGCTTCTCCCGTGTGTGGATGTGCAGGTGCCTGGTTAGGTAGGAGGACATGCTGAAGCTCTTCCCACACATGGAGCAATGATAGGGTTTTTCCCCTGTGCAGGTGCGCTGGTGCTGAGCCAGACTGGAAGACTGGGCAAAGCTCTTCCTACACTCAGGGCACCAATATGGCTTCTCCCCTGTGTGGATGCGCTGATGCTGACCCAGGTGGGAGGAGTAGGTAAATCTCTTCCCACACTCAAGGCATCGATATGGCTTCCCTGTGTGGATGCGCTGGTGCTGGACTAGATTGGAGCATTGGTTGAAGCTTTTCCCACACAGGGAGCACTGATGGAAATTTAAGATCATGCTATCCCAGGAAAAACAGATCTGTGCCTAAAAATCAAGATAGCAAACTTGACTGTCCCATAAGAGCTGTAATTAGAGGGGAGAGGAAAGGAGCGGTTGCTGGTTTCCACTGCTTTAATTTCGGGGAGTGAGAACAATACCTGACTGGACACGTTACAGCATCAGCTATTTGAGGTCAGCACCTTGGAATGGCAGCACAGGGCAGGCCTGCAGTTTCCAGGCTACCTCTCACTCTGGCTAGGAAGCATTTCTGAGAGGGGAGTATTGTGGAGTGGACAGCCACAACTCACCCGGCAGCAGGTCCTCCCACCTTGAGATTCTCTCACGGTCTTCCTCAGCACAGACCCACAGCTCCACCTGCTCTTGCTGGATGCGGCAGATTAAGTCAGGCATGAGACCTCGATATCCTGTGAGGGGCAGCAGTTAAAGTGTGTTTGTGACCACAGACTGGATGGAGAAGCAATAGATGGGATGTAGGGAATAGATCCAATGAACTCCTGGATTCTACTCAGGCCTTGAAGGACAAGGGAGATGGGCATTTAGGAGGAAAAGGAAGGTGCAGCAGGGAGAAGCCTTCAACAGATGATAGTCCTTATCACCATGTAGTGGAGAGATGGGCTTAGGAGACAAAGCATGGGCCACTCCAAGGTAAAAAAAAAGGGTATGAAACTAACAGTCACCAGGGACAGAGGTGGAAATTCAGTGATCTGTGATGTACTAGAAGGCAGAATGAGAAAACTTTTACTGTTCAAGGTACCAAAATTAAGAGTCATTGCACACACTTATGGATGGATTTACCTTATGAGTGTCTTTGCAGACAAAGGCACGGAAATAAGTTTATTCCTAGTGAAAGTTTAAAGTGAGGACTCACGGCAGTGAAAAGAATCCATGACAGATGGCTGACATTCATAGGCAGTGCATGGGGGGGATAACCTAGCTTACCCTGCCCCAAATGCAGGGCAGTGGTAGGGCCACAAGGCAGCCCAGCTGCGGGGTTCTGGTGGCTGCAGCTGGGGTGAGGGAGGGAGTGTGGCTGGAATAGGTGCTGCACAGCCGGGGTGGGGTGTAGGATGGAGTCGCAAGCTGCTTGTCCAGGGGACATGGCTCCAACCACTACGCGTACCATGGGAAGGCATGGGGGGGGTGTACCCCCCAGATCTGTGCAGGGTGGTGAGGCAGGCTGCGGCTGTAGGCTGGGGCTGCAGCAGGGCGGGTGGGTTGTGCTCGGGGTGGGCGGCAGTGGTGCTGGGAGGTGGGCTACAGGGGGGCTGCAACCACCCCAAAATTTGCCATATTCCCCCCACATCTTCCCTTCCCAGTGCCACTGCTGCCTGCCCCAAGTGCAGTGCAGTCCTATCCCTATCCCCCCTGCTGGGAACAGCCCAATGCAGCCCACAGCCACAGCCTACCCCACCCCGCATGCAGATCCAGGGGCACACACCTTCCTGGGGTGCATCCAGTGGCAGGAGCCACCACCACCTCCTCATGCCAGGCACCTCCCAGGCAAGCCACTCACAGCTCCGTCCCACACCTGCCCCAGCTGTGCAGGGCCTGCCCCTGCCCCAGCCTCACTCCCTCCCCCTGTCCCTTCCCCCACAAACTTACCTACTGGGGGAAGAGCCCGTGTGTGCATGCACACGTGTGCTCAGTCCCTCCAAATAATTTTTTCTCTCTCATATGCCAACTTAGATACTTTTTTTCTGGGAAAGAGGGTAATTGCCATCAATAGAACATAGAAAACTGTCATAAGTGCAGGTGCAACTAAAGCAATCATCCCATCCAATGTGAGGACAGTCCCAGGGCAGAGATGAGTAAGTATATAGGTTGGCAGATACTGCAGAGCTTAAAACAAACGTCATGGGTATCATGGATATGGAGAAAAGAAGACTAAAAAGGAGACATTTTACTACACATGAAATCCCATTATGTGGAAACGATCTAGAGTTTCCCAAAACAAGGAGAACCCTAGAATTGCATCCAAAAGAGAGGGCCATCCAAGACAGATAAAGAGAGGTATAACCACAAAGAAAGTGTGATATCTTGTGAGAGCCCAGTGGCCTGGCACAGTGTCCTACTTGATGACTTTGAGGTACTCACAAAGATATAACTGAAAGAAACTGGTGGAGACATGACATGGTAGAAATCAGCTTATAAGAGAATACCTGAACTATGTAGAAACTCCACCTATGGTCTTATAATAAGAAAAAGCTTGATGCAGATACAACCTGGAATACAGGGAAGGTGTTGGCCCCCACAGGTCTTCCATGCATTTTGAGAACTGATTGAAAGGAGAATGACCCAAAGAACATTTGCAACTGTTGACACTATCTACCCAGGCTGTGGAAGATCCTGAAAGATCTTGAAACATTAGGAGAGATACGGGTTGGGAATTATTGTGTTTCACCTAGAAAACTGAACAGAGTAAGAGACTGGGGCTGAAAGGGGACTAATATCAAATCCCATCTCTTGTTCAAAGAGAAAGGCAGTAAATACTAGCATTCCAGTGAGAGCAGAACAGTTCCTTAGCCACTCACTGAAAAAGGTACGGAAACAGTTATTACAGCCAGAATGCAGAGGACCACTGGAATGAGTGATAACCAGTATGCTTTTACGAGCGTGCAAAAATACTCAAACATGTTCAAGTAGGGCCAAGGAGGTGATCCTCCCCCTCTTTGTGACACTGGTCAGGCCACAGCTGGAGTACTGTGTCCAGTTCTGGGCACCCCACTTCAAGAGGGATGTGGACAGCATTGAGAGGGTCCAGAGGAGGGCCACCCGCATGATCCAGGGACAGCAGGGCAGGCCCTACAATGAGAGGCTACGGGACCTGAACCTGTTCAGCCTTCACAAGAGACGGCTGAGGGGGGACGTGGTGACCGTCTATAAACTCACTAGGGAGGACCAAAAGGGTTTGGGGGAGACCTTGTTTCCCCTAGTGCCCCCCTGGGATAACAAGGAATAACGGCCACAAGTTGTTGGAGAGTAGGTTTAGGTTAGACATCCGTAGGAACTACTTCACAGTCAGGGCGGCTAGGATCTGGAACCAACTTCCAAGGGAAGTGGTGCTGGCTCCTACCCTGGGGGTCTTTAAGAAGCGGCTTGATGCCTACCTGGCTGGGGTCATTTGAGCCCAGTTTTCCTCCTGCCCAGGCAGGGGGTCGGACTTGAAGATCTACAAAGTCCCTTCCGACCCTACTTCTATGATATGATCTATGATATGATTTAACCTGCACACAAGTCAGAAGAAGCCCCTGTATTAGAGACCATCTGGAAATGAAAACTGGCTTTTATGAGGCCCTGCACCTAGCCCACTTCTTTTGATTACAGTGATGGGCATCTGCTCTGCAGAGGGATTTGAGGAGGACAAGACAACTTCTGAGAATGGCAGAGTGATCTCGACAGCATAGATCTTAAAGTAAATACAGTGAAACCAGAGCCTGTGGTCTATGGAGATGAAGATGCTGGGAAAGAACGTGTGCAGAAGCTTCCTGTCACCCCCTGTTCAAAGCACCGAAGTTCCACTATGTCTAAAACATGTCCTGAGAGAAGGAGTCGAGGAAATGCATCATACATGTGCTGCAGTAGGAGAGGCTGACAAGGCTTCGATTAACTTGTACTGGGTCATGAGTAAAGAAGGAGAAAGGGGATTCAGACAGCACTGAACTGAGTATTCTGGGATTGTTAAATGTATTGGGACAGAACCAAATGAAGGAGGATGTACCACTGTGAGATGAGAGAGAAGCCTGATCACTGACGTAACAGTAGGGAGAAAGTGGGCATGGGTGACTGGTGCCTCCTGGCTCTGGGGGAGCACCAGCGGCCGATTGTTGACTGGGCGGGGGGTGGGTTCCCCAGTGGCCAATCAAAGACCCTAGCAGTGCCAGAGACAAACTGGAAGTGCTGCTGGCTAAACTGGCCGTGCTGCCAGTGTTCCCCATTCCCCAGCCAGCGAGGGCCAATTTCAGGAGGGGCATGTGCCCCCACCCCACCATGCCCCTCCTACACGTTGCCTATGGAAGTGGGTTTAAACCACCAGCTAGAATTTCATGAGATGAGGGAGAAGACAAGAAACCTCAGAGGTCACATAGGTCTAGGGAAAAGCAAGGCCCAGAGCTTTACCCAGGGAAACGAGGGCTTGGTAATTCCTCAGCATCTGGTCCTGGTAAAGCCCCTTGTCTTCATCTGCCAGCAGCTCCCACTCCTCTCATGTGAAAAACACAGCCACATCCTCAAAGGCCTCCTGGATCTGCAGTCACAAGTATTATACCATCAGCATCTCCTGTCCCACCTGCCTCCAGCCCCCGCCGCCCTGTCTGCAATTCCACCCCACTACAACTATGTGCAAGCTTTGCCATGGCAGGTCGGGGGGCAGACTTGCCCATTATGCAGTTGACATGTGTCGTGGCTGCATCTGTGGACATGGGAGTTCATGTATTTGCCCTGACCCAGCCCATCATGCCCACCTTGTTCTACTTGCTCGGTCCTTGGAGGCAGCCCAGGCAGCACTTTCAGAGGTAGGGACCCCTGGCTCCACGCACTGACCAGGCCTTCCCGGGCTAGTACCTCTAGTGATCTGCACTTGGAAGGGAGCTCTGACTAATGCCAGCTTGCGGGGCTTGCAGCTTCCATCACTGGAACCTTGTCACTCTTCAGGTCTCTATGCTCCTCAAATTCTTTACAGCACCCCTGGCTCTGCCCCAGCTGGACACCCACCCCGGCTGGAGCTGTGTCCTGCTCACCTCCATGCTCTCCTCCTGCTTTGAAGGCCTGCCCTGCCCCTGCTGCACTTGGCCCAGCTCAGGTGCCAGGAAGCCCCTCTCTCCCCATCTCCCTGGGGAAGTCCTCTGCAGCTCCTGGTTTACAGGCCCTTCCTCAGGAGGCTGCTGCTCAGCTCTGCTCATCATCCCTGCACTTCCTGGGTGGGGAAGGGAATCCACAGGTTAGTCCTGGTGCTGCTGGCACGGGGAAAGCCCTGCTCTTCTGGACTGGTCTGTGATTAT